TCTTACCTTAGATAGATTCAAGGCTGGATTGCGCTACAGGATTGACAGCTTCTGAGTTACAAGCATAAGCCTTGCTTGGGGTATCGCCGCGTTCAACTGGACCGCAGCCACCGCAGCGACTACATGGCGTGGTGTAGAGCCGCAACATGGGGTAGCGTCAAACAAGAGCGTGGCCCTGAGCAGTAATTTTTTTTTTGCCCATTCATTAGCTTGAGACTGAGACATTCGTCAGCAGCCTTCTCCAGCTTAGGCAACCTTTTGGGTTTCAGAGTCAGTATGTCTCTATTTGACCTTCAGTCATAAGAAACCACTGAGATCCCCACAAAAATATACGTGCCTTTTCAGAAATAATCTTTAGATAATACCTGTGATGTGCTCCGGGGCACTAGCTGTCACCATGCCTATATCTCATGGGATATTTTGATTTTCTAAATGGTCCTAATGGAAGCTTATCATCCCTGGAAATCAAGGTTACACTACTGTCCCTACTAGAACAGACCATCCGATAAATGACAGTAACTGCCCCGAAATCACCCAATTTGTGCTTATTAAAACTTGGGATGCCTACTGCTGCGATACCACCGGATATTTCTCCACCCCTGTCTTCCAATCAAGTAAATGGGTCGAGAGGTTACGATTTCACAACTTAGCTGGTTGTGATACAGAATGATCTGTTTCTACCAGCCTGTTGACATTAAGTGCCCCTGACAGTTAGTGCCCCACCTCCCCGCTTCATATTTAGTAAAAAATAAAAAATGCAAAATAAGATGCATGTGAACAAAAACACAGTAAATACTAGTAAATTCTGGAAAAGTTTTCAAGGAATGGCCACAGCAAACTGTAAGTTTGGTTTTAAAACAAGAGGTTAACATGGCTCTTACAAAACCATAGCACATATTATGTTGCTTCACTTGTAAGATTTGCGAGACTTCTTCTTTTCTTTAGACTTGTTCACAAACATTTTCCTGAAACTAAATTTATCAACCAGTCATCTCATTTGAATGGTGGAGGAGATGACCGCAAAGATAATTTTTCTACCCTTCCATAATGTATGATTACCTAGCTCTGTACAGTTAGAAGCAGACATGATAAAGATAAAGTAGATGGTAAAAAATTCAAAACTGTCAGTTGCATAGCTATTGAAAAGCATGTTGAAATTTACACCAACCAAGTAAACACGAAACAGTCACTTCAAATCATTTGACTGGTTTTTGACGTCAAAGTTAGCGATTTTCTGGCTAAATTTAGACTGCCTGGTCAATATTAAGGCAGAAAGTTGCTCCTTTTGACATCAAAGGTCAGTCAAATGACTCTCAAGTGACTGTTTCGCTGTTTCGTGTTTATGGGGAATTAAAACTTAATGACATGTTGTGTTGTTTACATTTCATTACTGATAAATGTAGGTTAACTTAGGGTGGTAATCACCCCATTACTTCCATAGCTAACAAAAGTTTCTAAGTCTTACTTGACAAAGTGTTTGTAATTTTTGACCACAAATAGCATACACCAAAATTTCTCTATGAAGTCTTACCTCTTAGTCAAATACAAAAAATGACTCGACAAAAAGAGTTTATCGTTTTTTTAATTATTGTTTATTGCTTTAAAACATTTAGACGGAGTACATTCGCCCAACCACTAACCCATTTCATTTCTCTGCTTAGCCTTTCCCAACCCCACAAACCTCGGGTCGGAAAGGGCTCACGTAAACAACTTCGGTGTGGATCTTTAGATGCTAAACACGGCTAGGGGAGAAAAGGCATGCTATATTTTCCATACACACGTAGCAAGGCAGCATATAAAGCCATCTGGCAGTGGTGGGGGAACTTGACTGCGAATAGTCGGAGACCCGACTTCGGTGTCGGTGTGACGGGAGCCGCTCGGATCAACGCACTTTCACCGCGTAAATCTTGCCACTCCAGATTTAGAAAAGTGGTTATCAAATGACTTTTATTTGGCCTACCATCCTCGTGAGCAACAAATTTATTTACTTTTCATTTGAAAATAACTAAAAATATTTCATTTTTGCGACGAACCGACTTCAAATTCAAGGAAAACAAAAGGAAGTTAGTTGCGATAGCGTTGGCCAACATGTGTTGTGGGCGCGACGGTTTCCGCCTGCGGCGCACCACCGTTCAAACCCCGCCGCGGCCTATGCACGCTCCACGCGACGCGGCGCGCACCCGTGCCCGCCGCCCGCCCCATTTGTTTGGCGCTGCGGGCGCAGCAGCTCTGGCGGCAGTCGTGGTGAAATAATCCTAATCGGCCCCGCGGGTGGGCCCCCGGGGGGAAAATAGGGGGGGGGGTCATCACAGACCCTCCTCCCCTGCGCGAAGATCGGCGCGATTGAGGAGGTCCGTCGTTATCGCTTTGCCTCTTGCAGCCGCTCCCCTCTCGCTCCCGCTCCGCCGGACCTCCTCCCGGACCTCGTCGGCGCTTTGCCCCGCGAGGCGTCAGTCACCACAGCCCATCACCGCCAAGCAGATCGTGTACACTCGTCGTCTTTGTCGTTGTTTTGTTGTTGTCGTCGTCGTTGTCACCTGTCGCCCTTCGTCACCATGACGGCCCCGCCTACGCCCGCGTGCGCACCGCTCTGGAAATGAACCTGCCGATATTGTGAGTCGCAGCTGACTCCACCCCACTCCCAGCACAACGGGTAGCTGAAAATGCTGTGAGTACACTATATATAATATAATGTCCGGCGCGGTGGCATCAGATTCCTCTTAAATAGGCAAACTGATGTTAAGTGCATATATTTCTCTCTGAAATCTCCGTATTTCTTGTTCTCTTTTCTACAGCGACGCGTACT